CTCAGGTTCGGAATTTAGGGTGCGATATTATATTATCTCCGATTGGAGTTTATATATATTTGTGCCGGAATCAATAACCAAAATTAAACTGAACCGTCCAAATTTGAACCGGAATCACTCATATTTACATTCAACTTGAGATTTTTAAAAGCCCACATGTTCGGATTAATTTTTTTTGTTGGTGACTTGTTCGGATTAATTATAGGCCTGAATATTAAGCCTTTAAGCTAATTTTATAACTACAAAACTTAGAGAGTTGATCAACAAAAAAAAAGTAAATAACTGCAAAACTTGAGAAGTGTAGCATTGGTGGAAAAAATTGTTTATTTGTAGTCTTTGAGTCAAGAAAACAATACACTTGCTAATGATACAGTAGTCTACAAAGACATGTTTGATTAAATCTACAAAATTCAATTCAAGTAAAATCTTTTTAATTAAAAAAATGCTACAATACACACAATGTAAGCTTCTCCCTTGAGCTGATGATGAACTGTTCTTCTCCGACTGGACACAAGTAGAAGAAGCAGACTGAGTTTCTGAATCTGTTCTTCTCTATGGAGTCCAAGTCATTCCGATTTAAAATCCGTCGCAGGAAGTTACACTTAATCTTCTTCCTCTTCAGAAGATTCATTTGATTTCTCAATTTGCGTTGTCTCGTTTTCCGAGGTTGCTGTGTCGTTTATCTTATCATCATCAGGCTGTGTCTGGCTCGACACTTGAGAATCTGATGTCTGGGTATGGCTCATTGGTGCTGGAGGATCTGAGTCCGACACTTGGGTGGTCTGACTCATTTCAGACTGGCCTGCACCAATGGGACTGCTTTGAGACTGACTCGTTTCAGAACGGTCCGCTCCAATGGGACTGCTTTGAGACTGACTGGCAACTACCGGACTAGTTTCCGGGTGATCGGTTTCAGAGTGACTCAACGGTACAGAAACTTGCTGTGACTCGCTTGCTTGCTGCTGTACCTGACTCGTTTGCTGTGACTCCGTTGCTTGCTGCTGTACCTGACTCGTTTGCTGTGACTCCGTTGCTTGCTGCTGTACCTGACTCGTTTGCTGTGACTCAGTTGCTTGCTGCGACTCGCTTGCTTGCTGCTGACCCTGACTCGTTTGCTGTGACTCGCTTGCTTGCACTTGGCTCGTCTGTGTTCCTTGAGATTCAGGGACAAGTCCAAGAACAACTAATGTAGACCTACCAACAAAAATATTTCGTATCTCCATGATCAGCAAATGGAATTCAAATAACTGAAAGGATGTTTGATTTGATTCGAATCCATGGAAGTTTGAAAGAGGAAAAGGTCTACCTTGGAAGTGAAGACCGGATCTCTGGCTGGCTGGCATGCGCGGTTAGAGGTGCTCTTAAGGCTGAGATTTTCGTCAATGCATTTTCCAGCTGAGGTGGAGGAAGCTGGACGAAAAGGAATTTCAGTGATACAAACTTTTTTTCTTGCAATTGTGGAAGTAAAATGTAAACAAGGATCATAGTCTGTGTTCGCAAGACCGCTATAACGGGTATCTTTACATTACAGGTGGATTCCGAAAATCTCATACAAAACAAATAATGGTGGAGTGAAGAGATTTATAATCGCACCTGTAGTAAGACCTTGTATGATTGAGGCTGTGTTGTCTGAGCACATTTCAAAAATCCTACCCACAGTTTCGGATATTTCCAAATCTGAAGAATAAATATGAATCATAAGAATGGACAATAGAGAGAGCATAGCATTCCAAAGACATTACTGACCTGTTTGCTAACGAGACGAGAAAGAATCTCCAGGATGAAGTCCGACTAGTAGAATATCAAGTTGAAGAGATTATTAAGTGACAGTTAAAATGTGATTCAAAAAGATAGATATAACAAGTTTGTTTACCAGAGCCGGAAAAGCACCAATAGCTTGTAAAACTGTACGCATGAATAACATTGGCAGCGGAATTTGCTGGACCTGCAGCCAGAAACTCGTCAATGAGCAAAACTATCCGGAAGAAATATGAAACCAAGATCTGAATGTGAGAAAAAAAATGGAGAATGTTATTGTACCAGTTGATTCAGAACGCCAGCTAAAACCTGTTGAGTGAATGTATGCCTCTGTGCAAAACAAGTATTGCATGCATCTGTGATCTGATAAGAACGTTAAGACAGTATTTAGAGAATGATGAATTTGGGTAAAACAGGTGACGAGATCTCCTAATTGTTCATCAAAGCTATTCTTTGTTTGCTGCATGCTTCAAGGAAAAGGTCGAGATATACCTGCTTAAGCGGTATTCCATCTCTTGCGGGGTCAATGCTATGGATAGCAATTAAAACTTCAGAAGGAGTAAGCACAGGGCCAGACTGAGATGATCCCTGAGAACAAATTTCCAGAGTGGTGAGCAGATCAAGCTTAGCTCAGAAGCAAGAGGCAAGAAATGAAATAAGATACCTGCAGCACACGAGAGAGTGCAACTTGGAACTTATCCATAGGAAGATTCACCAGATGGGAAAAAATGCGTAGAATCTGATACAGAAACAAGTATAAGAAAATAAGAAAACTATAGCCCAATGTGTTGATTGAAGGGGAAAAAGGTAGGAAAGAAGATTTACATCGTCTCTTGGTAAGAAAGGCAAAATTGGGAAAATAATTTCTACATCCTGCAGTGTAGCATCAAAAGTTTAAAACCCAAGAAAAAAAGAAGAAGTAATAGCTGAATAGTTCGCTATTAAGGAATTTTTCATGAAACAGTCCACTGTCTTCACCTTTATTCTTGTATCAAACAACTTTCTTATAGTATGTATCAATTCTGAAGAAGGTGTGGATCCCTCGGTAAGAGTTTGAAGAACCTGTCATCAATGACGAATGATCAGGACATTGTAAAACTACCCATCACTATTTGAAGCCTTTTCCTCTATTTACAGTATCGAAGAAAAAGTTAAGAATGAAGGAAACCTGCATCAGCAGGTTCTCACTCCCACTCGGTGGGTCTGCTATAATTTTAAGAAGCTCAGAGGATGAGCCCATTGTACGGACTAGTATTGGAATTTGACGATGAATTGCCTACAGAAAATAAACAGTGAGAATACACACCAGAGACAAAAATATACTGATATTAAAAAACTTACTAAAGAAAATGCAACCCTGGGCTCCAGTCTTACCTGCTTAACGGGATCCGATGCATTCTTGTATATGCTGAACACATGAACAAAAAGGGAGTGCTTCTGCAAATCAAATACACATAGCAATTAAAAGTTTTAGCAAAATTTAGCTGCAAACTTAAAGGCTAGATTTGTCATTTAGTCGAAGAATGGTTAAAAATCGGAAAAGACCTTTGTACAGAGAGCAAAATAGAGTGACAAGCAGCGCTGAGCTTCAGTAATTGATGTTGCTTCAGAGGACGTATCCATATCCATACCACAAACCAGCTGGAGTTTGTTTGGTGGATTTTCCAGATCAAGATCCTTCTGAAAGACAAATGAAAAAATCATGGCCACGTATTTTTTATGCAATGCTCATAGATAGAAATCATAAAGCAAACAAAAATGCACATACAACTCCAAACATAAATTGCTTTGGTATACAAGCAAGCACCTTTTTACGATCATCAATCAGTGTTTCAGCATCTCCTCTCTCTGAAGAAATGCAACTTGCGACAGAAAATAGATTGTCCTTTGCAAATTCCTCAATCTGTTGTGTAATATATGGTAAAGAATAGAGCTTGTTTGCCACCTGCAAAATGATATCCATAGTTATTGAAGTGGTAACACATCAGTAGCAGGATATATAAAATCACAGGTTTTACAGCAACATACCAGGCGGATTGCTTTCATGCGAATCTCTTCCGAGTGATGAACAGCACTCTTCAACAAGAAAAGAGAGAAATAAAGGAGGAAGCTTAGTGCGAGCCATAAACCAAAAAAGTATATTTACACCCTTGACAATATGAAACCGTCACATGCTGATAGGAGAAAATGGCTAAATAAACCTCATAAAAAGAAGGAGACCACAAGCACAATGCCCGGATAAAAAATATGCAGG